TAAAAGGCAATCGATTTAAATTCCTCGACACCAAACTCGCAATTAAAAAAAAAAGAAGAGAATTTCTTCGTTAATTCCTCAAATCCAAGTACACACAAAACCATCTTATCAACGGAATCTCCCAAAATCATTTTCACAAAGAAACACTAAAAGAACGTCAACGTTCATATTTGCCCGCATCAGAAAAACAAATCCGCATCGAATCTCATTCCAGATAACAGACGTTAACCTCACGACGAGCTCTCCCCTCTCTATTCACCCTATTTCTTAAAAAAAAAGAAGAAGATACCCTGGGGTGTCTGGCATGACACCAGCAAACAAGAATTTTACTCACGGGTGCTGTCGTAGAGTATTCCATTCAGCTCCTCAAAGCACGGCAGCGTGGCCAACGTTCCTGGAGGCGTCCTTGGCCAGCATAGCAAAGAATCCCAGCTAATTTCGCATCCCGGTTGTTCCTCCTGCTGTGTCTCATCAAGGGAGAGCCGATGCAGCTCCTCCTGGTGCTTTCGCTCGAGACACTTGATCGCCTCGGGGTTCAGGGACTCGTTCGACTTGTTAATATAGTAGAGAACGTTCAGAACGTAATTACCGGTGTCGAAGACGGTCTCGTTAGGCGGTTGCCAGGCCATGATCGACTGGAGTCAACCGCTGTTCGTCCGCGAGGTAAATGTTATCCTTATTCGTCCTCTCGATCGCGTGTGTATTCCTTCGTTTGCCGCGACGACACGAAGAGAGAGAGAGAGAGGGGAAAAAAAGAGTCACAACAGCATGGATTTGCTCTTATCTTTATACCAGGTCCTCGTTGAATTGTTTATGCGAGATACTCGTCGCTCTCTCCTCTAAACACAAACCGTGACATTATTATCGTCGTAATTCTCGTAAGATTTCCACCGGTGTCACGATCTTTCTCCACGTTCAGGCATAACTGACCTGTGCACTCCTCTTCTGCGTACCGTCTCGTCTCGATCTGAACAGCCGCGCGCGTGGAATTTCCAACACGCCGTTTCCACGAGAAATGCCGATCACACTTGGTCCATTGTTCTCGCGTATACGTTTAAGAGACACGAAGGTTAGAAGAGTTTATTTTTCTACCGAAGGACAATTATTTCCTCGGTCGGTGTTTTCCACGGGAACGAGACCGAAGATATTCACGGCGACCGCCGGATTTCCCGACTAATGCCGTTGATCCCCGAAGATCCCTTGCCATTAAAGGAGGGGTCGACTAATCCTCGAGGACTCCTTTCGTCCACCGAACGCGATATCACAAGTGGACCCTGAAGAATCCTTAATACCCGCACGAGTTTCACTCCCTCGGATTCTTATTCGACGTACTCCTGATCCTCTTTCGCTGTATGATACAGCGCCCTGTTAGGAAGTTTCTGATCGAGTCTATTTCTCTTCGTTCAGGTTATTGCTCGAATGACCTCGAGGGTTCGTTGAATCGTAGCTTCCAGACGAGGCGAGCTGAAACGCAGGTTCGATGCTGCCTGATTCCACAGAGAGATTTCAGCTGAGCTCTCCGGGGAATGTCTCGGACCTTTAGAAAGGGATCGTTAGGTCGAAGGGGAAGAATTCCACGGCAGCTTTGGTGAAATGAAATTGACTCACGACACGTGGAAATCGTTCCTTTTCATGGTTGAGGGAGCATTTAGACGTCCTATTAGGATGTTCCCGCGCTCCCCATTAACGCTCCTGTTGTCAAAGCGGTGTCATCGCGACGTAACACCACGGATCGAACGGTTAATTCGTCTCCAGTTTTCGCACTGTAAATACACCTGCACGGTGGAACGGACAGGATCGTTCGTAAAACGGCACTCGACAGCTATTAGGCAAACCGCTCGAAATGCAAAACCAATTATCGAACTATCAGCGACGAGATGTCCGCCAGATCGAGCACTAACAATCAGAGACGAAGTTCTCTCTATTGTCCGCGAGCCAACACCACGAGGATGAAAGCTGAGAACAAAGGGCCTCCTCGTCTGCTTCGATCGTTCCCCAACCCCCTTCCGCGATTCGATGTACAGTGGCAGCCTGCGAAGAGGCTATCAAGAACTTCGGAGGACCTCTTAAAAGCTATCTGTGTAAACGCGGCGTGTTCAGTTCTGATTTCTCTTGGAAAGTTGAAGATGGTTAGTCGACACCGGGGTTATTATCGTCACCGTGGAGAAGAAAAGTTCAGAGTTCCTTATAATCAATAGTCGATAGCTGTGCGAACGAGTTTCAAAAGTTCACGGATAGGCGGTTCATTTGTATGCTAACTCCGTCGCTCGTACACCTAATCCTCTCGTCACCGCGATTCTTCAGAGGTAATTCCCCTATCGACACCCTCGTGAAAACGCTTCTCTTACAATCTTCCGTTTACCACGAACGTATAAGCCGTCTAACTGTTCCTCTAACGACGCACTGAGAAATTGTCCCATTTAAAGTCCACCTGGGATGCTCACAATTCTCCGTATTTAGACTGTTAGATGGAAACTTCAGTAACACTCCAACTTTCCGCGTTCGTCGCTCCCTGCAGGATGCACCCTGTCGATGCTCGCCACTTTTTCGAACCACTTGTATCAACCAAACTTTCCAATCCTACTGTTTCTTCTATAATTTAACCGATCTGTGTGTATACGATTGCTATCCTTGGAGCATTTATTTATTCGGTGTATCCAACGATGTCCTCTCTCGTGGATAATTTTCCTCGTCAACTTGTTCTTTCTCTCGAGAGAGGGAATTTGATGGAAAGGAAGATTCACGGGGTGGTCCAGTTGTCCGCCGGCGAACTGTGACACGCGACTGGCAGCCGGCACGTGCTCGAAGCCGCGAAACAGCTTGGATTCGTGGGAGCGGCGCGGAAGCCTCAAGGAAGCTGCGTCGCGACGCTCTCAGCGGCAGTCGCGCGAGAGGTTCTACCCTGTCCGCGGAGTCTGTCAACGGCCGTAGGAGACGGTACACGGCGCCAATATGGATTTTCGCATGTACCTGGAGCCGACGAGGGCAACTGCCTGGCCTACGATGCGTGCACAACGAGGAGGAGCATGCGCCACCATCGTCCTCTCCTCTTCTTCTCTAGCACCATGTTCTACCCGTCCCTGCTATCCTATGGTGTTGCGTTCAACTCACTCTGGCCCCATAAGCTCGCCTCATGCTGCGCCCTGTTTCACCTGGTCACGTTTTTACCTTTTTATTACGAATTCCTTCTTTTCTCTTCTGTTTATCCTCGTACCGCTGGCTTGTGTTGCCTTCTGTTGTAATTGCTGTGCCTATTTCCCCTGTGAAATTATTTCGTTTTATTGTGAAACTTTGTTGTTGCGTTTTTTTTTCTTTTTTTTTTTAGTTTCGGGGGTTTGTTGGAGGTAAGGAAACTGTGAATGGGAATGTTTATCGAAAGAATGTGCAATGATGGTCAGTAGAAAGTAAATCTTGTTTCAGTACGTTTTATACGTGGTGTTTCTGAATTGTTTTCCGTTATTGAAACAAAATGAGAGTAAATCAAATGAAATTTCGTTACGTGGTAGTTCTCGAAAAATCTGCATTGGCTCACATTAAAGGGGTGAAAATTGTCTTCAAAATCGTATGAGAACATGTTAAAAAGTGTCTCCTAAAGAGACATTTCTCTGCATATTAACATCTGTTTCAAGACGAATTCAACGACCTGTAACATCCTAACCTTGAAAGACTGAATAGAAGAAAAGGGTTCAAATCAGACCAACGTAAAAATAACGAAACAAAAAAAGAAGACAACCTTACAAGCTGGACGTTTCTTTATCACCACCAAATGAACGCCCTCGAACCATATAAACTCCTCTTAGTCACTTTTTCTTACTTTTAATAGCAGCGGAAATAATTCAGATATTCATTCTAAGCAAGACACGCTATAATATGCGACAAAAGTTCCCGGACTCAAAATTGCGCAAACTTCTCATCTACGCAATGACATATTTTTTTTTTTTTTAATTAAACGATCAGGTGATACTGCATCGTTACTCAGCAGGGTAGCTAACTTACGAAGGTATCAGGCTTTCCTTTTTACTACCTTCCATTCCACTGCAATAAATTGTTAAACTCTGTATCCGGAAACTTTCGTTACACACATTTTTTCCAACTGATTATCATCTTCATCGAAACTTGAAGAATAAAAGTGGCATTTATGAAGTACCATCAGGCTGCTTTTTACTTGAGCAGGAGATAATGGTCAATGTACAGCGTGTCCATAAAAGAGATAACGTATAATTATTTTTCTAGTAACTCGATGTAAAATTAAATAAATAAATAACAATAAGTTTCTCAAATTATTTCCAAAAGACACACGAATACTTATAAACCAGTCAGATAGTTGAGAAACTTCCTGTTCCTTCACTCTTTCTTCCAATTCGATTCCTTTCCCCATTTTACGCTCCCATACAATTTTTACACTCGTGCATCCCTCGTTTCTCTCTATCTCCTTTATTCGCGCCCTTTTTCTATTCCCTTTGTTTATATTCTTTTCCTACACATGCACCTCGTTCCCTCCACTTGCTATCGCGCTATTTCACGCTCCCCTATTTATATCCCTCTTTCATACTCTTTTTTTCACTCACCTGCACACGCTCAGCGACGACGCTCCAGTTAAAGGAATATCGAAGAATGTCCTCGTGCTCGCTTCATCGACTCACGGGATCGTTCCTCACCGCCGCAATATATTTCGAATTTCCGAGAAATAAAGGCGCGTCCCGTTTATACACGGTCCCGTTCCCATTCCTCGCATACAATGCACCTCGAGACGTGTTCCCCGACTCCAGAGATCCTAGCAGCTACTTCTGCTATCGACGATTGATTTCTCCCGTGACAGCGCTTCGTTTACATCACGACTCCTTCGTTTCGTCCTCCCCTTTGTTCGCCGTCTGTTTCGCCCCGTCGATCTCGCGAATATCTGCAATGAAAACGATTCAACTGCATTAGAGACATTATTAACCCTTTCGCTACTCAGGGTGTCCAATTTTAACGTATAAATGAGAATTACTCGTAAACTACCCTCAGGGGCCGCAGAGAGTACTCGAAGGATTGAATTTTAAGCAAAATTTAAGGATTGAATTAAGGCGAAAGTGTACGAAAGTGCGAGAAAATTGCCAAATATAGGCGCCAAAAGCAGTGAAAGGGTTAAAATTGATTTACCTATTCTATTTCTCATTTTCTAAGCTTCTTTTTATCTACATTAATGTCCGAGTTATTCCAAAAACTTCTTTATTCCCTGAATTTCGTTCTATTCTTTAATTACCGATGCCTTTTTTCCAATTTTTCGCGCTCTTCCTATCTGTCTGATGCTCCGCATTATTGTGGAATGGAGCGAGGTTTTTAGTAAACAGCAAAAAATACACCATTCACAATTGTGTAACGAGAACCGTATACAGTAACAAAGGGTTCAATTCACTCCAGAGCGCAACAGAATTAATTCCGGCTGGGTTAAAGGGTTGAAATTTGCAACGGAGAAAACAAGAAGAATATGAATAGCAAAGAGTCCACGTTGAACGTACACGGGGGTGCTTACAACAGCGAGACAATTTTTCACGCGACGACGTTCAAGCCATGAGAACATTTCTGTTTTTCAACTCGTTCCCCTTTGGCATTGTTCAAAGTGCGACGCGAGCGTCGCGATGGAAAAATTTATAGAGTAATTCAGTCGTCGATTTTGCAACGGACGTAAAAATCCCATTCGTCTATCGAGCGCTTTTTCTCACTCTCCTCTATTTTTCTTTTTTTACCTCGATTCGCTTGGACAGTGGTGAGTTATCGCAATCGCCGGTAAAAAGGCAGTTGCTTAATGCTTCTGAGAGCGATTCAACTGGGAACAATAGGCGAGGAAAAGATTACGACAAATGTGCAACATAGTTTTATCGAGAGAAAGAAGAAAGTAGAATTGTTTTTAGTCCTGTTCGAACTTTAAGGACACGCGACGAGTCGTTCGAGTTTATGAGACGAGAGGTGAAACGATCCCGGAAGTGATAATCACCGATTTCGATGAAACTTTGGTATACAGTGGTTCTGAAGAAAAATTTCGACGCGTATTTTTTCATATAACCAATCGTCCAAATGAAAATCGCCCTCTACGCGTTAATTTTTATTACAATTGTTTTGGTACGTGTATATTCACTGATAAATTTCAATATGGGAATATTATGAATAATAAAATTCTGATAAACGAGAAAAAGAAATAAATGTGTATCTTTATTTCGCGAGGGGCTTTGTTTAAATTTATTTTTGATGCACACAGACTTGCCCGAAAAATGTTCTAATTAGCTCAAAATATCCTGGAAAGATTTTAGATTTTTTTAAATGAAAAATTGTCCATTTTATTTGGAAAAATATTTTGGTTATTAATATTTGGCAAAATGGAACAAGAATGTCCTTAAAATATTCTGGAATACGCTTTGTTTCTATTTTTCATTCGCAGAGAACGTTAATGACAATTTCAACGCGGATAAAACATTTGGAAGCTGAGAGGAAATTTATCAAAAAATCTTGTGGACTTATTCTACAGAGATTTGATCAGGAAAGTTTGATGTCAAAGTTCCAGAAAAGAAAGTGTGAGAAAGTTGAAAATATATTTGATTAGAAATAGTGTTAATAAATTTTCAAATATTCAACTTAATTTCTTCCTGGCGAAATTGTTGGGAAACGTGAAATAAAACGTTTTCCCTGCATTCGTTATTTACAAAAAAAAAGAAAAATTATTTTCGAAAATGTACGTAGATATGAAAATGAATTTTTAGCAATTTTCCGTAACAGATTTCCGCGAAAAGCATTTACATATGTGTATATTATACATATTCAAATGAAACAGAAGTCATATTGCGGATTTTAAATTAGAAACCAGCAGCCTGCATAAGTAACACAAATTTACCGAATATGTTTATGATTAATATTTATGACGGTATAAATATTGTTTTAATTAAATAAAATTGCGTCTCATTCTCTTTACAACATTTTTTCATAATTAGTAAAATCAACACTTTAACACGTTTTATTCCAAGAAATTCTTAATCATTCCTGTGAAAAGGAATAATGAGAAAATGATTTGTTCGTTCATTTAACAATTGGACGATTAAAACCAAATTTAATAAAAATAGAGGTCAACTAATACTGTCCAAGAAATTATAAAAAGTATATTTACGAAATTTGCAGAATATAAAATTATAATATACTTTTTATAATTTCTTGAACAGTATTAGTTGACTTCTATTTTTATCAAATTTGGTTTTTACCGTTTAATTGTTAAACGAATAAAAAAACAATTTTTCCCATTATTCCTTTTCGCTCGAATTATTAAAAATTACTTGGAATAAAAATTGTTGAAATATTGATTTCGCTACTTTTTGCTATATTTCCTTCTAAAATAGACGAAGAAACATACTCACGTAGAATGTCAATGATACCTCGTACATCAAAATATCCCGATACACTCTAAATCCCATGATAAAATGAAACTTGTCAATGCCTTTAGCAATTTAGCAGAAAATAGTTCGTAACCGTAGTACGAGAACCGTCTTATACGTTCGATCTGCTTGTTCCACCCTTAATGTAAGCTCGTAGAATACAAAAGACGGGAAAGTCAGTGTTAATGGCACATCTAGAGGGGTCTGCGTGCCAAACAGTGAAAGTTTCAGATGATACGGATGAAGATTAACGATAACCCTGAGGAAGTCCCGCTTTAGCTATTGCTTACTCAAAGTTTTATAGAGTATTAGGATCAATTCGAAATAGATGTCCCAATGCAAATTTCGACATGAAAAATTCCGAAAGAAAATTTTTTTAAATATGTACGTAGCTTTCCTAATTGAACATTATGAATGTATTTCATGGTATTTCTATTTTTGTAAATTCTTTTAATACTACAAAATTATTTAGTTTAACATTATTAACATTTTTCCTTAATTTCTTCACGTTATTAATTTTGTTTCTCTAGTTTCTTAACGTTGTTAATTCCTTTTCTTTAATTTCTTAATATTATTCATTTCTTTAATTTCTTAACATTATTAATTTTTCTTCTTTAATTCCTTAACATGACTAATTTCTTTTCTTTAATTTCTCAACACTATTAATTCCTTTTCAAATTTCTTAACGTTATTAATTTTTCTCCCTTAATTTCTTAACATTATCAATTTTCTGTTTTCTAATTCTTTAATACCGAGTAATCTCTTCGAACACTGAAAAGTTCATTTACTTATTTTAAAATTGTTTATCTGCTATTTTTATTTTGACACACTTTTTCAAAGTGTACAATTGTTTCAAACTTTTGATCGATAGCGTATAATCGTGCTTTTGGCAAGGACGTCGATATCGATATCGAATTAATCGACAAAGGACTGTGCGACGTTGATATTCTTTCCTACCGTACGCCGAAGCTAAAAATTTGTAATTCATCGGATACGGTTGACGCTTCGTTTAATTATTTAATCCTATGATCCTTTTGAAATTATCGAATACTTCTCCATATCTCTCACCCCATACATCGACTCTCAATATTTGCACTGGCAATGAATATTGCACAGGAGACAAATAAATCTGGAATTTATTAAATCTCGTATGATCGTGTTTGCTCGCGTCGTAATAATCAACGCGAGACGAGAGAGTGGGAAAAAATATCGAAATACAAATAGCAGTAAAATCGGTGAGCTTAGTGTAGAAAATATTTCTATCGCGTATATAGGTACACCATGGGACAACTGGTAAAAATTTCGAAAATACGATCTCTCCGTGTGACATGAAAAAAAAAGAAGAGAAATTCTACGAATTCCACACATTCAATGGCATACTTGACATTTTTCTCTTTTTTCCTCGATGTTTATCACGTTAGTCCGTTTATCGAACGTTTCAAACATTCTCACTACGATTTTTCGTAACGTAACACCGTGGTAGTCGTTTAATTAATCGGAAAATAAAAATGTTAAATATCGTTTCGTTCTAATAAGAGAGACTTTCGATGGAATTAAAACCGAAGTCGCTCTGACATTTAAGTTAAGTTAACAGAGTTCTTAATTAAAGTCTTCGTTGCGTTCGTTTTTCACGTGAGTACAACGTACTTTTGCACGATAAATAATAAGGCTCTGAAAACCTTTCGTACGCAGCTGTGGGCGCCTATAGGCGCTCGACTTGCCCGCGCTGAGCCCTTGACGCGCCTATAGACCCTCAATTTGCCCGCGCTGAGCCCTTGACGCGCCTATAGACCCTCTATTTGCCCGCACTGTGTCCTTGGAGCGCCTATAGACCCTCTATTTGCCCGCGCTGTCTCTTGCGGCGCCTATAGACCCTCTATTTGCCCGCGCTGTGCCCTTGGGGCACCTATAGGCGTTTCAAATATTTTCTCGCGCTGCGCTCTTCGCGCCTTTTTGCACACTTTCATCGTAATTTAATCTCTAATTTTCGTCCCTTGCGCATTTTCACGTTAACTTAACAAAAGAAACTTGAAAACGAGAAATTTTTAATTTTAATTCAAAAATTTGTTTGAAATTTTAAAACACCAATAGGACAAATTTTTTTCGTCGTAATCGAACATCTATTTTCTGCCACGAGTGTTGAATATTAAAATTGTGTATAATTTGAAAATTAAATTGATCGATACAATCGATCGAGAAAAAGTTTGCAAGCACAATCGCTGATAAATTTGCAAATTTCGTAATGCAATAAAATACAAAGTTAAAATTACCCCCGAAAGAAATTATAATAAGCATAACAGAAACGTATAATGATCGCAGGAGGAAAATCCATTTGATACGGATAGCACTGAATCATCAGCTTCGTGTATTTAACCTCCACTCCCGTTTTGAGGGGATTATACGAGGACGAGGAAAAGTTATCTGTGAGCGTATATAAGGCTCAGTCAAATAATTTGTCGTCCTGACACTTGAGGATGCGCCTTAGAGTCACCGCCAGACA